TCTCACTCAATACTGGACTAGCTTGAAAAATTGTTGTTCCTATCAGTCACTTTGACACAAACATGTGGGAAAACAGGGTCCAGGTTGAAAAATAATAGAGTTACCCTTTAAAGGTTCAGTGTGTGGCATATAGGGGGATATATTGGCAGAAATGGAAAATAATATAATAAGTGTGTTTTCTAGCATGCTAGCTCGATAGGGGGTTTTTTTCTATTATTTTTTTTTAAGCGAGACTGCTTCATTCAGTGTTTTTACTGGCTGAAATCACCAGGTAGGTTTGTTTTGGAGAGCAAGAGGCCTTTGCGCAAATTTCGGCTCCTTGCAAAAACCTTTTGAACTACAAGATCTTAGTTATCAGAGAAAAAAGGTGAGCACACATTAGGAGGTACTAGGCTAGCGGCCCGTCTCTGACATGCCAAACAACGCTGGAGGAACGCTGATTTGTGAAACATGAAACTGCTTTATTCAGGGTTTTTACCGGTTTAAATCGGCGAGTCAGTTTGTTTTGGAGAGGAAGAGACCGTTGCAGATATTTTGGCGTCCTTCTGAACTACCGGATCTTAAGTTATCAGAGGAAACAGGTGAGCACACATAAGGAGGTGCTAGGCTAACGGCCTGTCTCTGACATGCCAAACGGCGTTAGAGATACACTGATTTGTTATGTGAAACTGTTTTATTCAGTGTTTTTACCAGTATAAATCAACGGGTCCGTTGGTTTTGGATAGGAGGAGATCTTTGTAGATATTTCGGCGTCCTTCTGAACTACTGGATCTTAAGATATCACAGAAAAAAGAAACTGCAGTGAAACTGCTTTGTTCAGTGTATTATGGTTTAAATCAGGGGTGCCATTTGTTTTGAAGGGTAAAAGACCCCTGAAGATAATTCGTCTCATAGTAAAAACCCCCTGAACACTGAAGGAATTCAAAAAGGAAAAGTTTCAGCAGGTTGCAATGTGCCATCCTCACCACTAGATGCCACTAAATCCCCCTAATCTTACACACTGTTCTGTAAAACATTATTTGACGTATTAATTAATATGAGTACATGAATAAAAAGTAAGAAAGAACGAGTAAAAAGTCTGTATAATATATTATATTCCTCTTGTCTTATGTGGAAGTGAGACACTACATCCAAACACAACACACACGCGCGCTCACACACACTCCAACAGGAAGAGTGTGGGTGTTTGGGAGCAGCTGCATGGAGAAGCATCAGACCCAGCTTCCTCGTTGTGCCGCCAGCATCTCTCCTCCCTTCTCTTTTTCTCTCCCTATCTGCTCATTTCCTTCACATCTCTAACACACACAGAAACATACATTCAGTCAGAAACAGACAATACCACCATCATGCCACCATCATAGCCCAAAACTAAAAAAAACAAGATTCAATCAGCACATTTGGCAGAAATGAGCTCACGTACAGAAATAGTGGTTTATTTATGTTGCAATGTAAACTGTGCACGTGTCCCGTTTCTGTCCTGTTTCCTCCGAATGGTGACACACCAGCTCATCACCACCTGAAAGCCCAAATGTTGCACAACACTTTCCTGTGTCGAGCTCTAATTGAGGGTTCGTTGGTAGCGTTAAAACTTGACTCCACTCTCACACCTGTGCGAGGTGCAGCTCGGATGACTCAAGGCGCAGATGGACAGCAGATAAAGCCAGAAAATTTACATAAGAAAGAGATGTTTTGGAAATTTAACAGTTGCATCAGAGCCTCAGCTGTAAAATGTCAATCTTTCATTGTTGCGTAATCATCTTTGTAGGGGTTTGATGAAAAAAAATGAGCTGATAAACAGGATATGCTGCATCTGTCAGAGAATATGTAAATGCATATAGCCTGAATCAAGGCCGCTGGAATCTTCCTCTGACATGAGACTGCACAGGTGCAAGAGCTGTAGCATCTTTGTGTTTCACTTTCCTTTCCAGCTTTCTATTCTTACACCCTCAAGCCATCGCCCTGTCCCATTCCAACCAGTATTCCTCTGTCTTTATACTCTCCTTCAACCCCTCTCCTCAACCCTTCTCTGTCAGCAGCAACACCCCCAGTTAAGTGGTTACTGTGCTGAAGACACTAAGCAGTTATTTCTGTGTTTCCTGTGTGTCATGTGGTGGTAGCTCGAGCTAGCTAGCATGGCTGACAACACACAGGCTCCCAGGTGCAGAGTGTCACAGTGTGGGCCGTCAGCCAGAAAGCCAGTGGGCCAGTTAGCAAGCCAACTAGGCCCTGCAGCACGTGCTGCCCTCCACCCCCACCCTTAACCCATTGCTATTCCCAGAGGAAAGGAGGAACAGGCTTGTGAGTTTTTCTCTATGGGAAAGAACGCACGCCTGTGTATGCATGAGCATGTCTGAGCTTGCTTTTTTTTTTGTTTTTATTTTCAATTGCGGCACCAAACTAACCAGTTTGAGGATACAGTTACAGTCTAAAAGTTTCAATGTGTCATCAGCTCTACTGGAATAAGCTTGCATCTCTCCCCCAGAGTTCAGGGGTCAGGCTGCGCCGACGGAGAAGACCTCGAGTGAAACCAGCATGTAGGGGCACCAGGCTTCACCCTCTTCCCCCGGCTCGCCCCCAGGCTGCAGATGCACCGACCCAGACAAGGCTGCACTTCTCTGGGCAGCACAGAGACACTGCTGTGCTCCGGTTCCTGGAGCCCTGATGCTCTGATTGAGACCCTGCGCCCATGCAGGAACCAGAGGGGAGTGGGGAGGGGAAGGGGAGAACAAGGGAGGGGATGCAAACACATCTGGCATCTGCAAAAAAAAAACAAAAAAAAAAAAAAAAAAACCCTGCGCACAACTCTCATATCATCATGAGGAGAAATGTACAGGCCATATAGAAAAGCGAGCTCTGTTCCCCCCCTCCTCTGCTATCACACGTGCAACAGAAGATACACACACCCACACACATATCCAATTGTGTGCCTGCTACCTCTACAATCTAGAAAAGCAATTATGTGAGGAACAGGACAAGAAGTCACAACAATTCTCCAGCTGGTAGGACAGCACCAGAATACACCACTCTCTGCTATTGTTCTATTTATATAGCTCACCAAACAATGCCACGCTGGTGTCTAAAGAAACAAATTATTTAGTGGCAAGAGGAAATGGTATAAAACAATGCTATTTTCAATGATGTATACATACCCCGGTATGTACATCCATACAGTAAGATCTATTAAAGCTGTCTAGGGGAAGATAAATGAAAAGCTGTAAAAGGAGGACACAATAGAGAGCGTATCAGAGTGCAAGAAATTTGTGTGGGTGCACGTCTCTGCAAGGTGTCTTCTTGGTGTGTTTGTTTCTTTTGCGTGGGCGCTGCCTTTTGCATTAGGCGGTAGTACAGGACGGAGTTAGAGGTAGTGGTTGGGACGTGTGTTTATATGTGTGTGTGTGTGTGTGTGGGTAAGAGTGCAGAGTACTTCTGATAAACAACCAGCACCTCTCTTTGTGTTTCAGCCCACTCTTTACCAACCTATTCTTTTCTTCAAATGGTCGGACGAGGGTTTCTCTGTTTCAGAAGTGTTTGACAAGAAGGAAAATGCATGTTTGTGTGGGTATGTTAAAAAAGATATCACATGCATGTACACAGTGGTGTTGCCTGTGAGCTGCCTCCTCTCTTCAGGGTGACTGAGTATAGGCCAGTGAGAGGCATAGCAGCGAGCTGGAGCGGTATGCTCTTTGTGGCCAGCTGTGGGGCCATTAAAGGCCCATCTGCAGACAATAGGCTCTGTCTGAAGGGCACACACAGCCTGGTTCCTGTCCTGCCCTGCTTCACTGTGTTTGTGTATGGATGCGTATATGAGAGTACCATGCATTTCCATGCCCCATTTTAATGTGTTACAAAGGAATATACAGAAAACCTACACTTAGCCGTGGAGCTACTTCGAAATGTCATTTTAATGTGTCTGCATTAAACGCTGTAATTTCCCACAGCAAATCTCTTCCTACATGTAATGGACTCAAAACCTTGTGATAACGCCTTCTCTGCAACGTGGTGAAAAATAAACAGACTCATGCCGTGCTTCACTGAGGCACCTCTTGTGAAGTCAAGAAGACATCACCGCAGATGGTGGAAAAACTTGATTTCACCGGGCGATTAGAGCGTTCACGCCATCCTCTCTTCAAAGCCGAGGAAATGAAGATCACTTTATTAAAAGGTTATCTCCTCTCGCACACTCGACAGAACACAACAGCATGCAAAAACATAGGCGGGCGCTGGAAAACAGCTAGCTGGCCCAACCACATACCACTCAACGCGGTTCGATCAAGCAAGCCACAGCTTCACATGCCCTGACACACACACACATACACACACATACACACAAACAGTTGCTGCATGCAGACACATGCAAAAAATATCTGTCCCAATACTAAAATAGGCCCTGAGAGGTTGCACCTGCACCTGTGCCCTGGTCCACACCTACACACAGGTGTCAGGATGTGACACATGCACACACAGACAGAGAAAGAGAGATAGCAGAGAGGGAGGGGGAAAAACGAGAGCGGGGTGAATCACACTGCTGCGGTCGACCAAAAAGCTTTTTCTAGATATCATCTCTGTATTTTGGAGAGCAACAATGAGTGTGATTTTCAGTTTTAAAATAGACTTTTAGGTGTTTAATAATAAAATAAAATAAAAACACAGCACACGATTAAGTAACTTCTCAGCTCCCTCTGATACGTACAGTAATGATATAACACACAATAGGACTTTTAGACATAATTATGGGTAAGCAAAGTGTGTATCATATTGCATACATGAGTGCCTCAATGTGTCATTCTGCGTTCCAGAATGAGTGGTCTCTGAATGTGTATTTGTGTGTCACACTGAGTCATACCCATGTGTCCCTCGCTGGTAGGGTCCCTTCTCAAACGGGGCAGAAAGTGGGACAAATAATCTAAACAGTGGCTTATCTTTAAAATATATATAGCTGCGTGGGCATGCATGAGCACACTGACACGCACAAGCACATGCACGGCACAAAAACAAAAGACTGGATGAGGTATGTTTTATTATTTTCAGAGGGATACATGAAGAAAATAAAAGGCAGTATTCTGATTGAAGGTAAATCATTCACATCAGTTATTCAGAGTAAATTAAAAATGATACGATTGCATTAAATTCAAGCAGGCATTAGTGTGTTTGTTTGACTAAGCTACTCAGCATATTAAAATCTGCATTTAAGCATTTAATACATCTTAAGTATTGTTACTCTGACAGTCAAGTGTGAGCTCTATCACAGTGTTCTGGTTATACGGTGAAAGAAAATCAACTAACAATGGAATACAAACTTTTCACATGGTGTCTTAGCTCCAATCTGTCACATTAAATGGGATGCATTTACTTCTCCACTATGTTCTTTGAGAAACATTGCCACTCTGTGGAGAAAGCTTGTTACTGCAGTCCATCAGACTACTACTACTACTACAGCTACACTGCATCTTCAAGATTACTGCTCTTTTCATTTAGCTTCTGATTGTCTTTTATATACTGTTCAAATACATTTTATGTCTAATGTAAAGCACTTTGAATTGTCTTTGTGTCTCACAGGTGTTGTACAGAAAACTATCTAAGAGACGATTGTCTTAGTTTTTACAAATTTCATAGTTTTATATGCACCACACACCCAGACACCAATGTAGACCAAGTCCAGCCCCTCATGGCAACAGCACAGGCCCAGGGAATGAGACAAAGAGCTCAAGGAATTGACCTGGCCTCTAGATTCCCCAGATCCTAAGCTATTCAAGCATACGTGGGGCATGCCAGTACCCTAATTCACAACCCACAGGACTCAAAGGATTTGCCACCAATGCCCTGCTGCCAGACACCACAGGATAGCCCCAGAGGTCCTGTTCCTATGCTTCGACAGGTGAGAAGTCTACCTGTGGATTGGACTTGGCTCTGACCTCTGGGATACCGTCCCACGGATACTCAACCAGATTGGGGTCTAGGGAATTTCAAGGCTAGGTTGACACCTTGAGCTCTTTGTCACGTTCGTTCGGCCATTCCTGAGCAGTTTTTTGTGGTATTGGGTTCAAAGCTATCGGGGAGTGCTGTTGCCATGACGAGGTGTACTTGGTCTGCACCAGTGTTTGGGAAGGTGGTTCGTGTCAAGTGGCATCCACATGAATGCCAAAACCCAAGGCTTCCCAGCAGAACAGTGCATTGTAACGAGATGATCAATGTTATTCATGTCACCTGTCAGTGGTTTTGCTGTGGTTGATCTATGAAAATATAAATACTTTTCTCTATATATGTCAAATGTCTATGTATGTCCTTGTTTTAAGCTGTGTATCTAGTCAAGTTCTCTTTATGTGTTTATTATGTCTTTATAAGTTTTTATATTATACTAAATCACACAATGGAAGTGAATCTTTTTAGCAAGTGCATCAAATACTTTTAAAAATGATTATGATTATGATTAAAAACAACATATAAGCCTTAAAGAATTCTCATCTGTTTCTTTCTCACCACACATCCCTCACAGTTCTTCCTTCCCGGCTCCGATGGGGCAAGACACTCCGGTGCCTTTGAGGCCACAGTAGCCGTTGGGTACCTTCTTCAGGTACTGCTGGTGATAGTCCTCAGCGTAGTAAAAGGTCTGGTCCTGCATGATCTCTGTGGTGATGCTACCAAGGCCTTTTTTATCCAGCTCCTATAGAGACAAAACACAAACATAACCCACAAATGTTACTGCTAGGGCTTTCAAAGTTAATGCGTATAATTCTAACCCTCGGCCCATTTGTTTGGGAAATCAGGAAACTGCTGAGACACTATAGATGGTGAGCAGAAACAAACCCTCTGTGAGCAGAGATAGATAAAGAAAGTTCCGCTTCAAAGCCCTGCCACATGATTCTTTCGGCAAGACCAAAGTTATTTGCATTTACTGATGAGTTACCGCCGGAGTGCATCAAGCTGTTTACAAAATGGGGAATGTTTAGTCAACCTTTACAAGTGTAGTTGGACGCTACATTTGTCCACTCCCATGTTGATAAGCATATTAAAAACTTGAAAAGTATCCCTTTCAGGTACATTTAGAACAGATTAAAAATATGCTATTAATTTGCAATTGATCACAAATAAACTATGGACATTCATTCATTTTCACACACTTCTCAAGGGGCGGGTTGTGGGGGCAGCAGGCTGAGCCAAGCAAGGCACCCCAGACGTCCCTCTCCCCGGCAACACTTTCCACCTCCTCCTGGAGGACCCCGAGGAATTCCCAGGCCAGATGAGATATGTAATCCCTCCAGTGTGTTCTGGGTCTGTCCTTGGAACTCCTACCAGCAGGAGGCACCCAGGAGACATCCTGATCAGATGCCAGAACCACCTGAACTGACCCCTTTTGACGTGAAGGAGCAGCAGCTCTACTTTGAGCTCCCTCCGGATGTCTGAGCCCCTCACCCTATCTCAAAAGCTGAGCCCAGCCACCCCACGGAGGAAACTCATTTCGGCTGCTTGTATCCCCGATCTCATTCTTTCAGTCACTACGCAGAGCTCATGACCATAGGTGAGGGCTAGGACGTAGATGGACCAGTAAATCGAAAGCTTCGCCTTCTTCACCATGACAGACTGGCGCCTGCATCACTGTAGAAGCCGCACCAAACCACCGATCCATCTCACGCTCCATTCTACCCTCACTCGTGGACAATCATGTGTAAAAGTATTTTCTATGCATGTCATACACAGTGAGATGACTTTGATTATGAGGTCAGGTTTATGAGGTGTTCACTCAAATTTGGAGATCTAGAACTACTCCATTCCTTGACAAACAGCAGAGATCACATTAAACAGCCCTATCTGTGAGGAAAACACTCCTAGCGTGCCGCATCTTCATGTGTTCATGCTCTGTAGCCCGTTTCCATCGCCTCAGTCGTGACATACATTCGGCACCACTTTCTCGGTTTCCTCTAACTTCCTCAAAATGAACACACCTCTTTAAATGGTTGTTTTATTCTGTGGTGTATTGGATGTGAACTTTCAATACCTCTCGCTAATACAGTAAAGGGTTTTTGCTCCTCAGCTAGAAAGCAGGGTGATTGAGTGACAGAAGAAAGGAACATCTCTTTTCTTTCAGTAGTGCAGCTTGCCTCTGTGGCTCTCTCTGTGGGACAAAGCATCAAAGAGTATCCGCTCTCTTTGAGAACTCCTTAAGACACTTTCATACTTACACTTTTCTAAACACCTTGAGAAAAGGCTTCAAACACACTCCAAAATAAAAAAAAGCACAGTTGTTCACACAGACACACATGCACACACACACACACACTAAACACCTCTGACAGATATATCAAATACCTGCTGAGCTGAGTGGTTTTCTCTATCTAATAATACAAGCACTCGGTCCTCTCTAGATCAGTGCTCCTGAGAGCTGACAAAACAACAAGTTCGAGGTGCGCTGGGAGTGTCTGTGGGCAACAAGTAGCTTGCATGTAGCGCGCTACACCTCAGAACTGTGTGCAGCACCGAGGAGCTTTGCTTTATGGGGGCGTCAATTGGCAGGGCTCAGCAAGCACCATGAAACAGAAGCTGAATGTATCCAAATCTGGCTCAACGTGTTCCTATTAGCTTCTGCATACGTCTCGTTTCTGCATGATATTGTCATGGATACTGTTGGGGAATTTAAGGAAGGGAGACTTCATTCTTCTTAAGGTGATAAAACTCCACTTGAATTCATAGAGGTTAGGAAGGATTGTAAGTTTTCAAGGCAGGAAAAAAGCACCAAAATGTCACGTTGCAGCATCATCCACATTTGCATTGCTGAACTGCCATGCTCTTCTTGTTCACAACGGTCATATTCTTGCTGAAATTTAATGAAAAACACTAAAAAAACTGCCATTTTAAAGCTGCATTAATCAATATTTTTATATATTCAATGGCTTAAATTGTGTATAATGTAGAAGATGTTGCCCATAGTGATTAACCCACAGAAATAATTACCCAACTTTACAATCCTTTGGCTCGTTGTTTTGGTTTTATGGACCACAGTGTCACTGCTTTGGTTCACTCTCTCTGCTCTCATTAACCTTGTTTCCAGCAGCAGCGTGCAGCCATTTTCAGTGGAAAAGCTCTGATAAACCCACTGTATGCTACCTGCCCAGCACCAGATGGCACACCGACAAAGCTGGTGAACACAGTGGAACATTTAGCTACAAAAAAGTCAGATCTTACCCACAGGAGTTGAAACCTAAACAGATATACAGTAAAAGTAGTGTCAATATTGGCCTTATATGCACCAGTTGGATAGACACATGACTCCTTATTAGTCAAAATGTTCTGTGTCTGCTGGGTTAGCTGTTTGCTAATATGATAACATGTCAACACTGGAGAACAAATTAACAAATGTCTTTGTAAGGGGCCCTGTCACACCAAGCCAAAGGCTGGCTGTCGGTCACTGCTGATGATGAGCATCTGATGCCCTAGGTCAGGGGTAGGCAACCTTCGCTCTGGAGCCACATGCAGCTCTTTAGCCCCTCTCCTGCGTCTCCCTGTGGCTTTGACAAAAAATTGTATGGAAAAAAACTACTGGCAATTTTTTTTAACATGTTCATTTATCATTGTTTTAGCCCAAACAAATTCTGCACTTACAGTATGCACCAAATTTAAATAATTAAATATTTCATGTGCTTCAAACGTCTATAGCCTGACGCCTTTTCTTCCTAGCCAAACCTTAACAGAAGTGGCTAGTCTTAAATCTAGCTAGGCTAGCTATGATTCCAAATTGAACATCACTGACCATTCGCAGACAACAGCACTGGTATATTTTTCTCTAAAAAGCAATATAGGGCAAACTTCCAGCCTGCCTGTGCTCCCTTCGATGTCTCAGCTCTGGTAGTTACCAGCTACACTCCTCCAAGTGGTTGCTTTTAAATGTACCCTTAGTTTTAACAGATCTGGGGGAAAACTGCATTCTCCTACTCTGCACCTTGGACATGGAACAATCTGCAAAAAGATCTAAAACTAGAAACACTTATATCCATCGATGAATTTAAGGGCATGATAAAGAACGTGGTGACAGAGACATGTGCTTGTTTTTCTTGAGAGGCCACTGTGTTTGAATAGTTGTTATTTTATTGTGGATTTTTGTATTATATGTTGTATTTGTTGCATTTTGAATGTGTTTTGATTGGCTGCTCCCTTGGCCAGGTCTCTATCGTAAAAGAGATTTTCAATCTCAGGGGGACTTCCTGGGGAAATAAAGGTTAAATAAATAAAAAAAAGTCTTGAAAGGGGAAGAGAAAATGTAATAGTGTGTGGACAACTTCATTTGCTTTCACTGCCAACTCTGCAAAGTTAAAGTTCCTAATACTTATAAATAGCCCACTGCAGAGTAGCCACCACATAGTAAAACATATTAATGATTGGCTAATTTAGACTTCATAGGCTGTTACCTTAATTATAAGGTTCAAATATGTTTTGTGGCTCAGACGATCTTTTTTTATTATTATCATTTTTGGTTAAAAATGGCTCTTCTGATAGTAAAGCTTGTCGATTCCGGCCGCAGTTCTTGCGGTGTGTCCCACACTGTTGTCAATAGTCAGCCATTATCTGCTTTTTTTAAAGGCGATTCAGCATGTTCAATCGGCGTCGTAGATAGCAGAGCCCCTCGGTAAATGAAGTCACTCTGACTGGCAGTTCAGCTCAGTGCATGAGGAGAAATGGAAGTGAGGTAAGATTATGTTTTCTCAAGCAGATTGTAACTGTTAGTGCTATTGATTGCTAGCACATGGTAAATACTCTTTATTCTTTCAACACCGAGTTGTGTTGTTTATATGCTAACTGCTAACTAGTGTCTTGAATCCGTTCTGTCAGTCTTCGGATGTTCCTTTTTGAATCAGAAATACAGACTACTGTAGACTACTGTAGTTGGCTGTAGTCCTCAAGGTGTGTTCAGGTGCAAATTTTTGGCTGCAAAAAAGGCGACAGGTGAAAGCCTTAAGGGACTGGATCAACACAAACCTCATCTCAGCTGAATGCAAAAGACATTAGTATATTATTCACTCCATTTTCATATTCATAAAACCATTTAGTGGCCTCTTGTGACCTGTGCAGAGGCATCTAAAATTGTTATGTTTATTCATTCAGATTATTTACTTTAATTTGTCCCCTACATGTGACTGTTAATTGTGAACCTTCCCACTCTTGAAATCTCAGCTGTTGATCAACGAACGTTTTCATTATCTATAAATCTACCTATAATTTTGATGGATTGGAGTTGATTCAGTTTGTCTATAAATGTCACAAAATAGTGAGAAATGCCTGTCACAAGCTGGAACCAAAGAAATTTTGGCATTTTTGGTTGATAACTGAATTCACTGAATAATCCAAAACCTAAATTGTATGCAAATTAATTTATGTTTGATTTGCTTAAGTTTTTTTGTACTTATATTTGCCAGTTTATAAATGACAGAGTTGCCGTTTCTAGCACCTGAATTAAAACCAAACTGAGCCGTATATGCTACGTGTGTAACTGCATATCTTTTGATGATGCTGTTACTGAGCTAAACAACCAAATGGAATTTTTTATTGTGGACAGAGAAGGTTACTTTTAAGTCATCTGGGATTAAGCATGTAAGAGGAAGATGTATATAAAAAAGTATCACCACTAATTTATAATAAGAGGGAATAATGTCAGTGAAGGGCAGCGGGGTAGTT